ATATTTCGGTTTCTACTGGTTGACTCTTGTCCATTGAGAATTAGACTTGGAGAGGCCTCCAGAAATTCAGTTTTGCTTGCCATTACATTTCAGGCATGATGAGGAAAACCATGAAATAAAATAGTGCAAGACACTCAAAATGGCATCTCTGCTGCAGCTGTCGGTTTGCTGGCTTAGACTAGGTGATCAAGGTTTAGTATCTCCTTATCTAAAAAAAGGTGATAAAGCAACTGTATTCATCAGTGAAGAGTCATTTCTGTTAAACACTTGAAGTTCTTCTTTCTGCTAGGGACGTGATGTAATTCCAAACAATTTTCGTTTTCCTGAGCTGTGCACGAAATGTGTCAGTGTCTTGCTTCACGAGGTATGGCATCTTTTGTTCTCCTGAGCCCTTGCTTTCATTGTACAGGTAAAGCTCTGGGTTAGGTAATTAATAAATAAATAAAACAACCCCCAATTTAATTTAAAAAAAGTCCAGATTTGTGTAATTTAATACTTTTTTATCACTGTTGAACACATTCATGAAAAATGTATGGTAATTTTTATGTCACTGCCAGTTACTGAAGGTTCTGTTTCAAAATACTATTTAGGGAAATCAGGGAGGTTAGGCTAAGCCAGGCAGGGTAAGCAGGTAGTTGTAGCTTAGTCACCTGAAAAAAGCTAGGAAAACCCTAGCGACAAGATTTTAATATTATGAGATGATGGCTAAATCTGGTAGTTAATGTATGCCGCAATTTATTTGAATTTAGAGCAGATTTGCAAGAACTAACTCTGTTGTTAAAAGTCACGGTACTTTTCCCATCAGGAATTTTAGCTGAGTGAAGACACTCATAATTAAATGCCAGCATGCTCTATATACCTGCTCTTCATACACAGTCTCTAACATGAAATTAGAGACTTAAATGGATTGCTACCATAATGATCATGCTCTGTTTTGGGACAGTTGTTATCCAAGTTATCTTCTGCTTGTTGAAATTTCCTTGGACTTCTGTAATCTGAAGGCAGCAATGGTCAGTATCTCTCAACCCCCAGGTCAAAGGAATTTCTTGGGGTTATTCAATTTTGGTTTGGTGTCTTTTTTTTTCCTGTTGACAGCAAAGAGACTCTTCTCCTCTTTGGCAGACAAAATTCTGCTCTGACTCATTTCCAGTCCTTAAGCATAGAATGGTTTATAAGAAAGACAGGAGTGGTTCATATGAGTATATTCTCCAGTCGTTTTTCAGTACTGGCAATTAGTCCCATTTGAGTTTTATATTGAAAAGAAAACTCGGACAGACAATTCTTCTTGTTTTAAGGCACTTCGTGGGGACTGTTCAACCAGTGAGCTTTTTGTTTTTCTAACAAGTACCTGTGGTTTTCCCACTGCTGCAGTGGTGCTGTGGGGAGGACTGGAGGGAAAGTCCTTCAGAGATCAGGCAAGGGTGTTGGAAGCTCCTCACAGCTGGCTCCAGAATGGGATAGGTTGATCATACAGCAGAGAGCAGATGGGATGATTATTCTGTCACTGGCCTTTTTTGCTTAGATGTTTGTTGAAGGTGACAGAAAGGAAACTGCTGTGTAGAAGGAACGATCTCTAATTACCTTTGGGAGTGAAAACGAAGGAGGAAATGGCAAACCAGTGTGACAATGGTATTTCTTGTGAACAGGAATATTGTCACAAGAAATAATGGTCTCTTGCTTATATTTATTTCTCCTATCCTTGTGTTCAGTGTTTTAATTTAGGATGCAATGATTTAAAAGAAAAATTAATGAATGTGTTTTTGTTTATGTTACAATATTGCAAATTATTGTGAGATCCATATGACAAAAACTTAAGAACAGCTTTTGATGTGGATTTGCAGCAGAGACTACAGTTTATAAAACAAAACTTTTCAAATTTGATTTCAGCTTTTAGGCAAAGTTTTCAGTTAATGTTTGTGAAAGCTGTTTCTTAACAAATAGCCCCAAACTTTGGCCAGGTCTCCACTGCAGAACGTCTTGCCAGCGAGCACTGTATCAGCCAGGGGTGTGGAAAAAAGTCGTACATCCTCACTGACATCAATATATTGGCAAAAGCCCAGGTGTGGATGCAGCTGTGCCGGCAGAAGAGAGCTTTTATCAGCTTAGCTGGTGTTGTTTGGAGAGGTGATGCAACTACGCCAGCAGAAAAACTCTTCTCTTGGCGTGTGCTGTCAGCGTAGGAGGCTCCACTGTGACTGTGCTGCCAACCAGCCCTTTGCAGCAATAGCAACTGGAAAAATAAGCCCCTTTGAACAACAGAGGGACCTCTATAATTTAGTTTTTACAAGTAGTCATCGATGAAGAACAGAGCGGAAAGAATGATTCAGGTTTTAAAATTAAGTATTAATGTAAAAAACATGTTTAAGTTGTATGGCTTTAAGCTGTCACTGGCTCTTTAATGGCTGTCTGTCTGTCATTGGGTTGCAGGCTTTGAGAGCTGCAGTATGCCCAGCATCTGTGTTTTGTAAAGCCTTTAAGGCTTGTAGAGGTATGAGTCTCTGTGGAAGCAGTGAAAAATCTTCTGTCTGTAAACTTAGGAAGACAACTGTGGTCCCATTTACATTCTCATCATGTTTGGATGTGACCACTAGCACTAGAACGTCTTCATGTTTAAATAAAAGCTTAAATTTCTCAGAACGGAGTGTTTATGTGTTACAGACAGATAGAGTAAGGATTCCTGCTCTCTCTACACACAGACACACATTTTCCTCTCCTGCCCTTGGCCAACTGGTGACAAGATTTTACAAAACTCCAGTTCTTCATAACATAGAAAAACAAAGATTTTAAGAGAAAAACATTGTAAGAAGTAAAAGCAAAACCAAGCTACTGAAAAACTTAACTGAGGCTCTTAGCCTTCAGTTGTAATTACCAGTTTAGATGAAGATGGGTACATGTGTGTGGAGTTGTACATGTGTGCTCAAGGCAAGTGTACATTTCGAGATCGTGAACAGAGTAGTTGTGCGTTTGATCGCTGCTTGCATTTTGAGAACTCCACTGAAGGCTTTTGAAAAGAATATCATTGTACCAGACTAAGTTTGTTCTGTTTGTTGTGCAAATGTTTTGAAACTAATTGCTCTGTCATTTTGCACTGCTTGTAACCCCAAAAGTAGTTGCCTGGTGTTAGTGGAAGCAGAGTGGTCTGACAGTCTGACTTGTGCTGCTATAGTTAAAATATGTCAATGTTTCCATTGCAATCTTGGAAGAGAGCATTTAATCTTTTCCCCTGGAAGAAATTCTAGATCAGTGCTTCAATTCCAAATATAAATATTTTGGAAGAGATTTGATGTTTCTAAAAATCTTTATTAAAACCAAACAAAATACAAAAATCTCTAACCTTATGGCAATGAAATATTGATATTCAGTTTTGAAATATTACATGATTATGGAGTGTATTTAATTCTTTTTGGTAATTTTCAATTCAATTAAATTAGGGAACAACAGTGTTACTACTTATTAATGTTGATTTTATAGCAAGTTTTGCAGTTGACTGTTCCAGGCCATTATAGCTGCATAATAAACTTTGCAATATGCCAAATTGGAAGATTTTTGAAACCTTCCTAGGGAAACACAAAAAAGAAACACATAATTATCGTAAAATATCTGATATAAGACATGCCTTTGTACTTTTTCCCCCCCTCACAATTTCATTCCAATTTCCTGAAGTTATGTCCAAAATAGTTTCACTTTTCTTTTTAAGGGTGTAGTTTCATGGTGCTTTAAGCAGAGGTGAACTCTAATGCATTCCTCTCTCTCTTTACATTCCTGTTCCCTGCCTTGTGACAGCCAAAGCTTTTGCGTAGCACAAAGCCACATGTGGTGTACCAGATCAGGGAAGATAATTTTTTGGTTCGGTCTGTGGCTGTACAATTGTTTGTACTAATCCAAAGAAGAGGGTGGCACCAGGGCAGGAACAAGTGAGCCTATGCTGACATCTCACTATATATTACACTTTAAATTTTTCCCCTCTACCATGCCTTTCCTCTGCAGTTCACAGGGCAGTTCTTTCTATGAGCTTCTTGAGCCATGGAAGCTCAAGCTTTTGCAGGAAAGGGGCCACATGCAGCCAGTTCAGCAGTGAAAACCATCTAGTCACAAGACGTTTACTGGCAACGGTAGTTCTCTTAGTGTTTTGTTAAAGTATTCCTCTCTTACAACACCACAGACCTGTTCATAGTACTTTCTGTACAGTATCTTGCTATACTGTTGTTAATGCAAATGATTACTCTACTGCAGATTTTCTCTAGGATGTTTTTATGTTCCGTTAGGGTCATAAGATTTTAAGAGCAATAGCATTAGATACCTTGAGGACTAGGCAGAAGTACTTATGTGCTTTTCTCCTTTTGAAACTTGAATTTTTTTAACATTATATAGAATCTTTTTCTTGACAGTCTTGAAGTAATCCACAAATGTGGAGAATTGGTGGCAGTATGAAAGTTCTGCCGAGGCACTCAATTAATTTAAAGTCTGGTCCTTAAGCTATCTGTGCTTAAGGACTATATCTTAAAAAAAAAATAGCAGTATTGTGTGAAGTACTAAAAGCCAGAAAAGAGGCTTCTAATTATTTTTGTATTTTTTGATAGATTAAGGAAAGAGCATGGTCTTTGTGTCTGCTACAATTTGACATGCGAAACAATCATAGTGATATAAACTTTATACCTGCTGGAACCGAGAGGAACAATATCTCCTCTTTCATTTTCACATTAGATAACACAATAAAGAGTGATAAAATCCTATGAGTAATATTCAGTGGAGGTTATGTATAATTTGACCCTGTGTCATGCAGTAAGCATGCATCAAATGGTGGTTGGGTATATTAGAATGTGCCTGTGAATCCTGTCCCAAATGTGGTGTGAAAGCAGTTGTCTTTAAAATCCATGAGTAATTACAAACAGATTTAACACAGAGCTCCAAATGGTAAACAGGCTACTGTAGACTGAGCTGATGTGTGCATGCTGTGATTGCTATCTATAGTTTACTCTAACATGCTTTTTCCTTTGCAGCAGTCCATTGTACCAGCCCACCCAATGGCTCCTCCTAGTCCCAGCACCACCAGCAGTAATAACAACAGTAGTAGCAGCAGCAACTCAGGATGGGATCAATTAAGTAAAACTAACCTTTACATCAGAGCACTGCCTCCAAACACCACTGACCAGGACCTGGTAAAATTATGCCAACCGTAAGTACTATGTTTAAATGTAAATTATAATGTCATACCTTAAAAGCCTATAGTAGGTATACAAAACGAGTGTTTGGATTATGAGGGAAGAAAAACAGATTCATGAACAACCAACCTCATGCTGTGGTACGGTGGCAAGTTTCAACTTCCTTGGCAATCACAAGGAAAAGATTGTTTGGCACTTTGGAAAAGCAAAGAAAGTAGAAATACAGCGGTGAACTGAATCAAACCATTACTTTCACAAAAACTGTGATTACTGATATTGCTGCCTGATGCTGTTGAAATGAGAGATAAATTAAAATTAATATCTAAAAATGAAACTTTCTTTTAAGAACCTGCAGAGAGGTTCTTCTCTATTCACTGCTAAGATAAATCTGTTGATATAAACTCCTCAAGTAATTGTTCTGCATCACTGTAAATTACAGTGTGCATTTGAAGGCTTATCCTAGTTTCAGACTAATTTTTGGCTGTACATTACTGTACAATTATTTTTATGATTTTTTGATCCATGTAAGAATCCTCTCTAGTGGCTGGAATTCTGGGTAGACTTGGCCTAGCATGAGGTTTTCAGGCAATGTTGTTAACATGAGATTTTTTTGCTTGTGTGAGTTACTGGTTTTATTTTTTAATTTTTACAGCAGCACATGCCTCTTAGTTACTTTCAAATGTGGGTCATACGTCAAGAGACTGTGCAGTTACGTTGTTTATAAACTGTTTAAAATTGCCTTTCATAAATGTTTTACTGAACTTTTAAAATTCTTAGTACTTCTGAAATTCATAGTGCACTTTCTGGATTATTTTGAAATCAGAAGTAATTAGCTAAGTTTTCAATACTACATGTAAGAAAACATCAAATTCTATCTTGAATGAGTGGACAATCATTAAAATTTTATATAACGCTACTATCTGAGATTCTTAAAATAATTATATTCCATTTATTATGTTCCATTTAGCAGATAAATAACTAGCAACATACAAGCATACATCTCGAAGAGCACAACACAACTAAGAAAAATTGCTAGGAACGCCTAGTAAATCTTTGATTTCAGCTTATATGGAGTACCTTTGTTTTTTAATATTGCAAAATATCTGATACCTGATTTATATAGAAGAATTTTAGTTGCAAATGCATGTTTTACAGAAGTGGATTTTTCCTTCCCATTTTTTGTCATTTGAACTGATGAAGTAACCTTGGCCTGTGCACTCATGCTATGTTAGGACAGAGCTGGGAGGTTATTTTGCACTGGAGCCGCCCAGTAACTACTATTTGTGCAGTGGTTACTATAACTCCTTAATCTTTCTGAAGACATTTTGGTTTCCACAGTCTCAGATATCATCAATGTATGAACAGCCTAGAAAAAAGTACGTTCAATACTTTGCTGTAACTGGTCCTCTTCTTCTTGGATAGCCAAAGATTCTAATTTTGTTGTTGCTATTCAATATATAATTGTAGTTGGAATAGCGTGAATTGTATAAATAAAGAACAGACAAGAACTGCAACCATGAAACTGTTAATTCTGATGTAAACTTAGTCTTGGAAGGTTATGGCATTTGTTCCTGTGAGATATTTCTCTCCTAAGAATCTTACTTGAGAGGAAGGGAAGCCCTGTCTCAAAATTCTCCATTTCTGATGAGGAACTGAGTGAGATGTCCAGAAATTTTAGTGTTGACCAACACAGTCCCTTAGCACCTAACTTGATGTGGCAGTAAGATAGAAGTGACAGCACCCTGTTCACAGAAGCTCAGTAATCCACTTTTGTAGATCATGGAAAGTTTCAGATGCTAACTGTTCCCTTCCTACAAATCTGCCTAAACGTTTAGGACATAGAGGGCAAGATATTCTTAAAGGTGAACCTGCCATGTTCATTGTTTAAGCTGGGACAATACAAAATAAATGGAGAATAAAATCTTGGGCACGCTAAAATCAGTAAAGAAACTGGTGTTTACTCCAGGTCTCTGAAATATTTTCATTAGCTGTTTCCAAATGCCTAATATTTTACTGGGAGGCTTCATAGTAATTTTAGCTTCTTTTCCCCATATAGAGTGGATCTTGCTGTCCTTAGAGGGTGTCTGCTGGAGTGCTTGATGCTAAGAATGGATAGAAAGGCTGCTCTGCATGTTGTAGAAATGATCTTGCTAGCTGGCAAAAAGCAGCTTTCAGTGGAGGTACAGAAAAAGGTCACTGGCTTGTTTTGTATCTTTTGACCAATGTCAGACAAGGCAGAGAAACACCTGTGGGTTGAGGAAATAATGGTTGAAAAACATCAATTGTTACTGCAAATACCAGAAACATCTCATCTGCAGAGATTTTTCCCTCTGATCATCCTGGACTTGTATTATATACAAAAAGTTATTTTCAGGGATGGTTATTGTAGAGAAATATTGCTTTTGATAGAATCCATTAGAATACAAGGTAGAATAATCTACAGAATTCTTTTGTGGGGGATCATATTATACTGTGACTTTTATTTGCTTTAGTCAATATTTGCTTCAGTTCTTGCTCATGACAGCTAGCAGTGCTAATTTTGGCTATGTTTTAATTTTGTTTAATTATTTTTGGTGAATCACTGGAGAAACCTCTTATCAAGTTATGGAAGTGTTGGGCATGCTCTCCTGTTGTAGCACAGCTGTGCAGTATTTATGAACACAGTTAGCAAATGTTCATCAGCTTTGTGGAAAAGTATTTTCCTGGCAAGAGCACAGTTTGCCAGTATATGTCTCTACAAATCTGTCTCCACCTTCATCTGATTGGTTCTTTCTGTTTTTCTATTAGCTGAAGCTTTTTTCCTCTTTTCCAAGATGAAAAGAGCAGATTATGTTTTTGTTGTGAGGGCTTACTTTGGAGCATAACTATTTTTCAGACAATATTACTGGGTTTTGTGTGGGAAATGAAGCTGCCATGTTTCAAACCTAAGCCTGCTACTCCAGTTCTGTGTTGGGAAAACAAATTTCTTCATATCAGTTGTGCCAGAGGCAGAAGTGTGGGGAATAGTAAAGTAGGTATAATGTTTGTCATAAGGATGTCGTAACAGTCAACCCAGAACCAGAGGAGTGTTGGGGGGACACAAGGTGAGTCAGTCCTGGCCATAAGAGCTTTCCATCAGGTATGTAGGAGTATGCAAAGCAATTGACGTAATGGCCCACAGACAATGTCTTTTCTGTGGGAGGCCAGGCAAGAGCGATCAGCTAAATAGAGGGACAAGAGCAAAGGAAAGGAGCCAATGAGCATGGTTTGGGGAAGCCTGTAGGAAGCTGCCTGACTGCTGTGTGGTTTCTTTTCACAACTATATAGTGCCATTGCATGAGATCTGCTGCACTGACCAAGCTTCTGTCATGAAGAGCTGGTTTGACAGGATTGTTGAAGCAGGGGTAGTCTCAGCCATGCGTAATTGTTCTCACTTCTCCTAGTGTGACTATCAATACCTTATACGCTTCCTTCAGCTGTTGTGTTGGTTTATGAATATATTATTTAGACTTTAATTGTACTTTCTTATTTTGTGATTCTTGGATAGTAATTTCTTTTAACTCATTTAATATCTGCATCTGAAGATACAAGAATAAATCCATTCCAGTTATTCACTGAAATTGTTGAGCCTGCTTATCTGATTAGGGACTTAACGCGATTGAGTCTTAGCAGATTCAGTCAGGAGTTTGTAACTTGCTTTGGCATGTTTTCTAGGTGCTTTCCAGACCCTCACTAAGCGCTATGCTTTGCTGAGGATGACCTTTATGCTGAAGCCACATTGTTCCAAAGCCCTGTGCTTTCCACCGTCTTACTTATGATTTACTTGCTAGCGTGCAGCATGGCATCTCTGTAATGCTGAATTTCTTCAGAGACCTCCTTTTGTGACATTTACATCATTACATGAGGATGATGCAGCAGACCCTTCATCCTCCTGACAGTCCCCAGTCCCAGGGTGAGATTTCAAGCTTTGAGCCTTAACCCAGGTCTCCTTTATTCAGTTCAGCATAAATCGCCACACCAGCCCACCCTTTCATATTCTCCCTTCCTGGCTGTTTGCTCATACTGTGCTGCTTGTATCAAGCTGTTTGTAATCTCTATGATATTTTTGAAATTGCTTTTTGCTCTGGACAGTTTCACTTAGTTGGTCTTCCCCCTTAAATTATCACTGTATTATTATTGGCCTCATAAGCCACCAGCACTATCTCGTATTGGCCTCATAAACCACCAGCGTGCCTGTAACAAATGTGGATAGAGCCTTCCCAAATCTTCATTCGTGAAGCCTAGCCATGATGATTATAATGTGCATTTTTAGTGGGATTACAACCAGAAAAGCAGCTGCTTGTAAGGTAAAAAAATATAGAATTACCATGACAGCCCATTGTTCTGTGCCAGGATGATCAGAAGCTTGCAGTGGCTGCCTTTGCATTGTGAAATTATGTCCTGTTTAGAGAGTATTTTAAGGGTTCTTTTCTAAATATTCAGCATTATGAACACAGGCATAGCTAAAACAACTGCCAGGCTAATGATTTTCTTGAAACACTTGAGCCAGACGTGCTATACAGCTTTGTTTCCACAGCAGAAGAACTTTTGTTTTTTGAAGTTACATACTCTGTTTCCCTGTTTTGAGGCACAATCACCTAAAAATTGTTTCAATTCCCTGCTCTTAATAAAACACATATTTTCATTAAGTCAAGTGACGTCCATTAGCATATTAATGTTTCCATGTTCTTTGCTTGCTGTGTAATTGTGACTTCTCCCCATGTTGCCATTTCCCATCTCCTTCAAAAGCACTCAGGTCTGAAAAGTGGTGAACTGGAGCTCAAACATTTACTGTAGCAGGGAGTTAGCAGTGCTGCTGTCACTTAAGAGCAAGAAACTTGCTAATTTTACTCTGCATATCTCATTAGAAAAAAAGACATGTCTGGACTTCAGGAAGTGCTCTGACCATCTCTTGCATTTAACTCATTGGGAGATTGGTCTGGGCAGGTCACTGCTGCTTAGTTCTGCCTGTGGAAATGCCTGTAGCACATGAATA